CATGCATGCATGCATGCAGCAGCTCAAATTCTCTCGTCAGGAGCCCGTGGCTTGCGCCGCTCGTGACGGCCGAAATGGGCTTCACCTGCTGCCCGGCCGCCCGCCCTCGACTTGCGCGCGCGCGCGCGCGTGTGGCGAGGGAGACGCGCGGAGGTCGCTCAGCCGCGCATCTGATTTCGCGAGCGAGTGTTAATCTTGAGGACGACACAGGCATATTGCCAGTCTATCGTGTTCAAGTATTCACGATTTCGCTTTTTCGCTGAGCAACCCTCGACCCCGTGAGGAGCTGCGCGGAGTCACGTGTGTAGGAGGAGTTCCTCTTATTCGATCACGTGGTTAGAGGTTGCCGTGTGCCTGACGAACCTCATTTCATCACCACATTCACCAAGTATAATCTTGAATTAGAATCACAATCGTGAACCATACCAGCATGACTATCCATCTAGGCTCAGTCAGATCACACACCTCATCAGCTGACCTCGCGCTTCTGGCAGCCACTTCTGTCTGGCCGCCCTGCAGCCAGCTCTCGACCACCATCTCATTCTATACGTGTCTGTGAGGCACCGATTCTTCATCGCGTCATCGTTCCATCCAGACCGACTCGACTTGGTCTCGCGCCGCTCATCCCAGCCATTCGTGCAAATCGAACTTCGTCTCACGACCTTTCTCTGCGTCCAAAGTGCTCTACTTCACAGAAGAAGAGGACTCCTGAGGCTCAAGATCGCTGTAGGCGCATACATCCGGCAGGAAACTTCATCTGCTGAGTCCAGCCAACTTGGAAGGCAGACGTAGCGTGGATTGAAGGCAGTAGACGAGACAGCACCGCAACGAAGTAGCAAGCAACATGTCGTTGTGCACAATGAGGTAAGCTGCTAAATGCTCTCTAGCTGCTTACAAGTGCTTCCCACTGCTTCCTGCTGGTCGCACATCAGGAAATCTGAGCTCATCACATTCCCTACCCACAGGCTCGCCGAAGAGCGGAAGCAGTGGAAGAAGAATGGTATTTACGTGAGTAGCTCTCGTAGCCTGTGAGGTACATCCCCTTCTCTCGGACAGCCTACCAACTGGGCTGCACTCGATGCACCAGGGATTCTATGCGCGACCGGTGAAGAAGGAGGATGGGACCTTGAACTTGCTAGAATGGGATGTCGGCATCCCCGGCAAACCAGACGTGAGTAAATAGCTCGAAGAGGTAGAGAAACGTGACTGTACACAGATCTGACGCCTGCCTGCCTTGGCGCTCTCAGACACCTTGGGCTGGAGGAATGTATACGCTCAAGATGATCTTCCCAGAGGAATACCCTGCCAAGCCTCCCAAGTGTGAGCAGCGGCAAGCTGTACGAGCGGCAAAGTCTCTCTTAATCCCGCTGACAAACCTCGCAAATATCCGATTGCTGTCGCAGGCAAGTTCACTCCTCCTCTATTCCACCCAAACGTGTTCCCGAGCGGTACAGTGTGCCTTTCCATTCTGGACGAGGAGAAAGGCTGGAAAGCATCTTTGAACCTGAAGCAGGTGAGTCGCGCGCATCGTGCCCGCATTATGCTCTTATGACGGACTCATGACCATCGCGACCGCTACTGCTTCATCACACAGATTCTCCAAGGTATCCAAACTTTGTTGACCGAGCCAAACGCTGCCGATCCCGCACAATCGGATGCTTTCCAGCTCTTCCAGAAGGACAAGGCTCAATACGAGTGAGTGTCGGCTTTGCGGGCTCGCATGCCGAAAAGTGGAGCCTGTCGCTGAGCCGGTGCTGCTTGTGCCCACGCTCAGGCGAAGGATCAGGCAGCAAGCTCATGAAAGGCGCGACACTACCTAAAGTCATTTGCCTCGAAGAGCTCTTCCTCTCCGAAGGCGCCATCCACTCAGCATTCTGCGCATCGATCGTCCTCGCTTCTACCAGGCGAGCCCGAGCTCTATGTTCCCTCGCAATGTCATCGGTTGTTGTAAAATTGCGAAAATGGTGCATTTGCCACGAAGCTTGGCGCAATATGCGGGTAGCGCTGTTTCGCCTCCGCGCACGGAGCATGGAACAGGCGTTTGCTGGTCGATCGATAGGTCACCTCTAGTATGCAGCCGTTGAGCTTTGACTGGTGCTGCCATTAGTATGGACTATGGGCATTTCTAC